GGATACGTGTAAGTGAAAAGGAAGGTAAGTGCAGTGGGGCCTTGACTTACGAGTGTCCCGACTAAAGAGTTTTTTGAGATACGAGCCATCTCTCGGCAGACTTTTTGCTTTGAGTTGCGAGCTAAAATTCGGGTTACGAGCCAGCTTTAGATACCCCACCGCTAGTTGGCGCAGCGAACGTCACAGTGAACGCCACATCAGCCCAGCATTCAATTCATTGTAATGGTGAAAATTGATTTGACATACGAGTAATTTGAGTTACGAGCTCCATCACGGAACAAATTAAACTCTTGTGAGCTAAAATTCGGGTTACGAGCCAGCTTTAGATACCCCACCGCTAGTTGGCACAGCGAACGTCACAGTGAACGCCACATCAGCCCAGCATTCAATTCACTGTAATGGTGAAAATTGATTTGACATACGAGTAATTTGAGTTACGAGCTCCGTCACGGAACAAATTAAACTCTTAAGTCAAGGCTCCAGTGTATGTTGGTAGGGACTCGCTCAGGATGCTATATAAGCTCAAAAAAGGTTAAGACATCAAACTCAGACTTTTGGTGTCAGAAAGGATTCTGAGGAAAAATAGAACTAAGACTTGAATTTATTATCTCATCTCTCTGTTCTATTTACATAGGTTTAGAGCCCTTTTTTTTTTCTTGGACAACTGTCCTTCTTTTATTTCTAGTTTGTTTATTGATTCTAGAGGGAGGAAAGGAGGGAGGGAGACTGTATACACACATACAGGGGGAGAGAGAGGGAGAGAGGAAGAGAGGCAGAGAGAGAGAGAGACCCCAATTTGAGAGAGAAACATTGATCAATTGCCTCCCACATGCACCCCGACCAGGGATCAAACCCACAACCTTTGGTGCACAAGATGATGCTTCAACCAACTGAGCCACACTGGCCAGGGCTGTCTTTACTGTCCTAATTTGTCTTTTTACCTGCAATCTCGCCTTTGACAGGAACCCTTATCTTCAAGATAAAGGCAAACGTAATAGACTGGGACTGCTCATGATCTGGGCTCCCATTTATTGCACCAGGCTTTTGTCTGCTCCTACATTTAAGATACACAGAAGCACCCCCATCTCCTGAAATGTGCTATACTCACCCAAGTCTGCCTGGAGCACCTTTCCCCTTGGATTTTAGGGCTAGATCAAGCTTTACCTCCTCTGGGAAACCTTCCCTGATCTTTAGTCTGGGGGAGGCATGTGTTGTCATGTATATTTTAAAGGTATTCTAGACACCACGAAGAGTGTGATATTAGGCTTCAACTCAGGGTGATCAGTGGCCCTAACGAAGAGTCCATATTTCAGAGCTTGCTAGCTACCATGCTCTCCCAAAGGCAGCTATTAAAAGTCCTTCAGCTGTTCATATATTGACCAACACCTAAGACTACTTATTAGCTCAGAAATAGGAGAAGCTTTCCTACTGGTAAAATTAATGGCTTGTTAATCAGAATGGTAAATGTTAGAAATGGATCTCATTGCTAAAATAAAAGATATTCCAGATATATAGACTGGGTAGAATAATTTAGAGATAGTCCCAACTCTTGCGTGGAGAGGAATAAGTCTATAACTGATCACTTAGGAATGCTTCCTGGGGCCACCTGTCATAGCTTAGGAAGTTTCTCCTTGTCTGATGCTGATTACAAGAGTAACAGAATCCTATTTTTTATGACATTGCTACCTCTCTGATAGACACCTACAATGACAGACAGCTGGGACATTAGAAAGCTTAAAAAACAGAATTAATCTATTTCTAAATGAATATCTACACTAATAAAAGAGAAAAATGGTAATTGGCGTACGGCGATACCGTTTTCATTGGCTAATCAGGGCTATATGCAAATTAACTGCCAACTAAGATTGGCAGTTAAATGCCAACAAGATGGCGGCTAATTTGCATATGTAGGCACAATGCAGGGAGGCGAAAGGGAAAGCAGGAAGAAGCCCCCTGCCACTGACAGTGATCGGAAACCCAGGGGGGAGCTAAGAGCTGGGGGGCAGGGCAAAGGCGGCCTGGGGGCTTTGGAGAATCAGGCGCCTTTGCCACCCTGGCCAGTGATAGCAGGAAGTAGGGGTGGAGCCAGCGATGGGAGCTGGGCACGGTTGAAGCTGGCAGTCCCAGGAGCTAGGGGCCCCTTGCCTGGGCCTAAAGCGAAGCCCACGATCGCGGGGCCGCTGCAGCTGCGGGTCCCCGCTGCCCGGGCCGGACGCCTAGGCCAGAGGCGTTAGGCCTGGGCAGGGGCGGAGCCTGCAACCGAGGGGAGCTGGGGGTCCCCTGCCCAGGCCTGACACCTCTGCTGGAGGCCTCAGGCCTGGTCAAGGGGCCGATCCGGTGATTGGTGATCGGAGGGTGATGAGGGTCAACTCCTCTGGCTGAGGCATCAGGTGGGGGGCGGAGCCGGGGATTGGGGGGATATGATGGTCCCTTGCCCAGGCCTGAAGCCTGGGTCAGAGGCGTCAGGCTTGGGCTGGGGGTGGAGCAAGCGATCAGAGGGAGATGGGGGTCCCCTGCCCAGGCATGATTCCTGGGCCAGAGGCCTCAGGCCTGGGCGGGGGCCAGAGCCAGTGATCGGGGGGAGATGGGGGTCCCCTGCCCAGGCATGATTCCTGGGCCAGAGGCCTCAGGCCTGGGCGGGGGCCAGAGCCAGTGATCGGGGGGAGATGGGGGTCCCCTGTCCAAGCCTGACACCTCTGGCCGAGGCGTCAGGCCTGGGCAAGGGGCCGATCAGGCGATCGGAGGGTGATGGGGGTCTACGCCTCTGGCCGAGGCATCAGGCCTGGGCAAGGGGCAGAGCCAGCAATCGGAGGGGTCTGGGGGTCCCCTGCCCAGGCCTGATGCCTGGGCCAGAGGCATTAGGCCTGGGCTGGGGGCAGAACCAGTGATCGGGGGGAAATGAGGGTCCCCTGCCCAGGCCTGACGCCTCTGTCAGAGGCGTCAGGCCTGGGCAAGGGGCCGATCCTGTGATTGGAGGGTGATGGGGGTCAATGCCTGAGGGCTCCCAGTATGTGAGAGGGGGCAGGCTGGGCTGAGGGACACCCCCCCCCCCCCACACACACCCAGTGCACGGATTTCGTGCACCGGGCCCCTAGTTTATTTAATAAACATCTGTAAGTGTGGTAGGATTTGCTTTCATTATAAACTAGTAACAAGGTTGTAAGGGAGCAGCCAACCATTTCTCAATCATCTTCACTGGCCTTTCAGCATAAAGCACGCAAGTGTGGTACTAAATTAGCTTAGTCATTTCAAATCAGGGCCTCTCCTCCACGCTCTTGCAGTGCCTATGCATCCACCACAGCACATGTCAATTCGTATGGAAATGTCAGTTTACCCGTCAACTTCTCTCCCATTAAATACTGAGGTCCTTGAGAAAAGGATTGTACTCTTCATCTCTGAAGTCCATTTCTGAGCTCAGTGTCTAGTTTAAAGTAATACTTGCTGCCCGGCTCGGTGGTTGAGCATAGACCCTGGAACCAAGAGGTCACTGGTTCGATTCCCAGTCAGGGCACGTGCCAGGTTGTGGGCTCCATCCCCATTGGGGGGCCATGCAGGAGGCAGCCGATCGATGATGTTCTTTTCTCACTAATGTTTCTATCTCTATCTCCCTCTCCCTTACTTTCTCTCTAAAAACCAATAAAAATATATTTAAAAAAAAAAAAATACTTGCTGAATGACCATAATATATAAGTAGCACAATAAAGTGAAAGGGTATCTGATGAGGAACTGAGAGACCCATTATAACACTAGTTTCAACAACAGCTGAGTACTTACTGTGTATCAATAATCTACTGAGTACTAAGTGTCAAGCATAGTATTGGGCACTTAAATAGTATCTCACTTAGTGTTCACAATTCTGAGAGATAGCACCATCATTTTACAAAGGAGGAAAGGAAGGGTCTGACTTATTCAAGATTACTCAGATAAGTAAGTAGAAGAATCCATCTTTGAACCCAAGTCTGGTTGAATCCAAAGCACGTTTTTAACCTCTACTTTAAAGTGTGTCCCATGGCTAACATCTGTGAGCTTAGGCAAACAAATTCCCTCTGGATTCCAATTTCTTCATTTGTTTACCGAGTGAGACTGAGTTACTCAAGCCCTTTCCAGCTCACGTCACGTTGATAGTTCTAAGCAGCAACAACCATGGCCTCACTCTTGCCTGCCCCAACTAGAGAGTGAAAGAGCGTCTCACGTGCAGCTTGTTATAGAGCTTTTCAGACAACATTTTGTTTTTATCCTTTCTTTCTCTTTTGAAATGTCTCAGGAGATTCTGAAGGCAGAGAAAAAGACCTGTTTTTGGCACAGTGCTTTGAAGCCAGAACCTGCTGTTAGTCACCAGAGCCAGCAAGTTGTTAATTTAGTTCTAAAATCCTTCGCTGACATGTATGCTGGCTGAAATAGTCAAAAAGGGCAATCCAGGGACACTTCAACTACCAGAGGAGCAGAAACGGTAAGAGAAAACAGCAAAAATGTCGATCTATTTACCACATTTGAGCTGTACTGTGGCAGCTGGATAAAGAAAAGAAATTCAGTGGTTCTCTTGACATCACCTGGGGATTGCTCCATTGAAAGACTCACAGCCTATTTGTGCCTCGAAGTTTATAGTCGGGGATTGAAGTGGCATTGACAGTTCTATCTCAAAGTACTTATTGAAGACTTTATGTGGTATGTGCTGAAATACTAATATCTCAGGCCAGTAACTACACAGCTTTCCTCCTTAAAATACATTTCATCTGCTACCACTCAGTTACGCCAGGACGAGAATTGTAGAAAAATGGTAGGTCCCTAGTTGCCAGGAGACCGATGCTAGGCCTAACCCTCCACTTGGCTTCTCTGGAAGAGGTAAGAAGTCCTGGTGATACATCATTAAGGCAACTCATCAGAAAGAAGCTTTGACGGTATTAAGATGATTAAAAATCATGGTCATTTTCAGAAAATTGTTCAACAGAGGAGAATAAACACGCAGAGGGAGGAAGTTGTGTTTTGCCTTTAAAACTCACTTTCTTAACAGCAGGATCCCCTTTAGATGGATGACAGGATGGAGACATTTTTACCTGGAAAAAAAGGCAAACATTGTAATATCCTGTTAGTTATAGTCTAGTTTTATTTGACCCACACTCAAAATAGTTCAACTAGAATTGGTGTAACTGAGATAAAACAGACATTTTCAGAGTAATAAGGAATAGGTGATTTTTTTTTTAAGTCGCTTTGAAATATGATTGGGGTAAGAAGAGTGGTTTTAACTAAATGGTGAGGAACCAAACATATAGATTTTTGTTGATAATGTTAATCAACTGATATAACATGCAATAGTCAGAATTTTTTGCAGAGGCCAAAGCCAAGTATCCTTTGTGATATAATATCCCTTTTAAGCAAAATGCACAAGAGTTTGATAAGAATAGTGAAGGATTTAGATAAAGTATCAGCCAAACCATAACAAAAAGATGCTTAGCCCAAGGAAGAGAAAATCTTCAAATGGTGCAGAAAATCTTTAAATATTTGAAAGGTTAAAAGAGATTGTCACATTAGATAAATGAGTTAGACCCAACTGCAAGCTACCTGCAAGAAAATACTTTAAATGTAAAGACACATAGGTTAAAAGCAAAAAGACTGGAAAGATATACCATAATAGCATTAAATTTTAGAGGAAAGATTATTATCAGGGATAAAGAAGATAATTTCATAATAATAGGGCTCAATTCATTAGGAGGACATAACAATCCTAAACACTATGAGCCTAATAGCTCAGAAGTACATAATACAAAAACTGATAGGCCTGCAAGGAGAAGTAGATTTTATAGTCAGAAATGTCCATACTCCTCTCTCAATAAATGATAAAAAAGTAGGCAGATAATCAGAAAAAATAAACCCAATTAATAAATGGGCAAAGGACCCAAAGAGACATTTTCCAAAGACACACAAAAGGCCAACAGATATATGAAAAGATACTCAATCAGAGAAATGCAAATTAAATCCACAATAAGATATCACTTCACACCTGTTAGGACAGTTTTTATAAAACAGACAAGAGATAACAAATGTTGGTGAGGATGTGGAGAAAAGGGAATGTGCTGGTAAAAGGGATATGTTGGTGAGAATGTAAATTTAGGTATAGCTATTATGAAAACAATATGGTGGTTCCTCCAAAAATTAAAAATCAAACTACTATATGACTCAGCAATCCCACACCTGGGTATACATCTAAAGGAATAGAAATCAGTATCTTGAAGAGATATCAGCACACCATGTTCAGTCAAGTATGCAAACAACCTAAGTGTTCATCAATGGATGAATGGATAAAGAAGATATGATATACATATATACAATGGATTATTATTCAGCCATAAAAAGAAAGAAATCCTACTATTTGTGACAACATGGGTGAAGCATGAGGGCATTATGCTAAGTGAGGTAAGTCACCAGAGAAGGACAAATATACACTGAGTGGCCAGATTATTATGACCACCTGACATTTGTAGGCAAATTAGCTATAATTTCACGCTGAAGTTGCTAGAGGGCCAGGCCATTATAAATAGGGAAGCAGGTTGTTTACCATGACAGTAGAAGTGATTTTTTTCTGAAGATATGGGTAAACAATGCGCTTTAACAGCCTTTGAACGTGGGATATATACTATGTAAAAATCACTTCTACTGTCGTGGTAAACAACCTGCTTCCCTATTTATAATGGTCTGGCCCTCTAGCAACTTCAGCGCAAAATTATAGCGAATTTGCCTACAAATATCAGGTGGTCATAATAATCTGGCCACTCAGTGTATATGATATCACTTATATGTTGAATCTGGAAAAGCTGAACTCATAAAATCAAAATAGAATGATGGTTACCAGGGGCTGGGAGGTGGGGAAATTGGGGAGATATTGCTTAAGGGTACAAACCTGCAACTAGTAAATGAATGAGTTTGGGAGATCTAAGGCACAACATAGTGACTATAGTCAACAATATTGTATTATAAACTTCAAAGTTGCTAGGAAACGAGATTTTTACTGTTCTCAACACACACAAAAATAATTATGCGACATGATGGTGTTAGCTAATGCTACTATAGTCATATTGAAATATATAAATGTATCAAACTAACATGTTGTATACCTAAAACTATACAATCATGTCAATTATATCTCAACTAAAAATAAAAAAAGACATAGAAGGCTTAATACAACTACCTTGATAAGATGGACATTTACAGAACACCCTATCCCCAACAAAAGTATAATACATGTTCTTTTCAGGTACACATGGACCATTTACCAACTTAGACCATTTTCTGGCAATAAGACAATTCTCAATAAATTTAAAAGAATTCAAGTCATACAAAGAATGTTCTCTGATTAAAACAGAAATAAATTAGATTAATAACAGAAAGATCTCTCGAAAATTTCCTTATACTGTATTAGGAGCTAAGTAACACACTTCTGAATAACTCATGGATTAAAGAAGAAATCAAAAGAAAATTAGACCCTAGAAACACACAACCTACTAAGACTGAATCATTAAGAAACAAAATCTGAATAAGCTAACAGCTAGTAAGGAAGCTGTAATAAAAAACCTCCCAACAAAGAAAAGTCCAGAACCAGATATTTTCATTGGTAAAATCTACCAAACATTTAAAGAATTGTCAATCCTTCTTCAATTCTTCCAAAAAACTGAAGAGGAGGAAACACTTGCAAACTATTTTAGGAAGTCAGCATTACTCTGATACCAAAGCTGAACCTGGCACTACATGAAAAGAAAACTATAGGCCAATATCCCTGATGAACACAGATGCAAAAGTCCTCAACAAAATACTAGCAAAGTGAATTCAACAGCACATTAGAAAGGTCATACATCATGATCAAGTGGGATTCATTCTTGGGAGGCAAAGGAGGGCTCAATATACACAAATCAATAAATGCGATACACCACATTAAAAGAACGAAGGAAAAAAATCCACATGATCATCTTAAATGATGCAGAAAGATCATCTGGCAAAATTTAACACCTTTTCATGATAAAAACACTCAACAAACTAAATTTAGAAGGAAATACCTCAACATAATATATATATGTATCACAGCTAACATCATACTCAATGGTATAAAACTGAAAGCTTTTTCTCTAAGATAATAATGCCTGTTTTTGCCATCTCTATTTAACATAATATTGGAAGTCCAAGTCAGAGCAATTAAGCAGAAGGAAGAGTAAAAGGCATTCAAATTGGAAAGGGAAAAGTAAAAGTACCTGTTTGCAGATAATGTGATCTTATATGTAGAAAACTCTAAACTTAGATTTAAAAATAATCTGTTACAACTAATAAACAAATTAAGCAAAATTGTAGGATACAAAACAACACACAAAAATCAGTTTGTTTCTCTACACTAATAATGAAAAAATCAGTAAAGGAAGTTAAGAAAACAATTTACCATACTATAAAAAAGAATAAAACACTTCGGAATAAACGTATCCAAGGAGGTTTTGACTTGCATACTGAAGACTACAAAATATTGCTGAAAGAAATGAAAGATGATAAAAATAAATAGAAAAACATTCCATGAATGTATTTTGGAAGACTTAATATTGTTAAGATGTTCATACTACCCAAAGCAATCTATAGGTTCAATGCAATTCCTATCAAAATCCCAATGGCCTTTTTTTTTTTCTTTTTTTCAGGAAAAAAATTCCATCCTAAAATTTGTAATTGAACTACCTTGAAGAAGAACAAAGTTGGGGGCCTCACACTTTCTGATTTCTAAACTTACTACATAGCTACGGTAATCAAAACAGTGTGCTACTGGCATAAAGACAGACATACAGAACTAATGGAATAGGACAGAGACTAACAAACTGAATTCAACAGCACATTAAAAGGGTCATACATCATGATCAAGTGGGAATATCACATATATGGTCAAATAATTTTCAACAAGGATACCAACACCATTTAATGGGGGTGGTGGGGGGGGTGGAGGACAGTCTTTTCAGCAAAACTGAAGATCCGAATGAAGCTAGACCCTTATCTAACACCACATACAAAAATTACCTCAAAATAGATCAAAGACCAAATGCAAGAGCTAACGCTATAAAACTATTAGATGAAAACACGGGGGAAATTTCATGACATTGGATTCAGCAATGATTTCTTGGATATGACACCAAAGGCACAAGCAACAAAAATTTTAAAAAAGACAAATTCGACTTCATCAAAATTAAAAACGTATGTGCACCACAGGACATTATAGATAAAAAGGAACTCCCAGAATGGAAAGAATATTTGCAAATGACATATCTGATAAGGAATTAATATCCAGAATATATTAAGAACTTCTAAAACTCAACAACAAAACAAACAACCCAATTTAAAAATTCAGCAAAGGACTTAAATAGACATTTCTCCAGAGAAAATATACAGATGGACAATAAAAATATGAAAAGATGTTTCACATTATTAGTCATTCACAAAATGCAAATTAAAAACACAATGAGATACCATAACACGCCTTTTAGAACAGCTGAAACTAAAAAGATTGACTAGCCCTGGCTGGGTAGCTCAGTTAGAGCGTCATCCTGATAGGCCACGGTGGCGGGTTTGATCCCCAGTCAGGGCATATACAGGAAGAACACACAAACATGTAACAGCAAATATCTCTGTCTCATCAAAAAATTTTTAAAAATAATAACAAAATAAAAATATTAACTATACCAAGGACGTGGAGGAACTGGAACCCTCATATACTGCTGGTAGAAGGGTGAAATGATACAACCATTTTGGATAACAGTTTGGCATTAAAATAATAAATATAATTTTTCATATGAGTCAGCTATTCCATTTCTAGGTATTTACCCAAGAGAAATGAAAGTATACTCCACACAAAGATTTGCACATAAATCTTAATAACAGCTTTATCTGTAACAGCCAGAAACTAGAAAAGTCTACCAGCAGGTGAATTAACAAATTATGGAATATCCATCAAATGAAACATTTCTCAGCAGTAAGAAGGAATGGACTCTTGATAAAACAATGTCAATGAATCTTTTTTTAAAAAAATATATTTTATTGATTTTTTACAGAGAGGAAGGGAGAGGGATAGAGAGTCAGAAACATCGATGAGAGAGAAACATCGATCAGCTGCCTCCTGCACACCCCCTACTGGGGATGTGCCCTTGACCGGAATCGAACCTGGGACTCTTCAGTCCACAGGCTGACACTCTATCCACTGAGCCAAACTGGTTAGGGCTGTCAATGAATCTTGAATAATTACGCTGAATGAAAGAAGCCAGACCAAAAAAAGCATATATACTTGTGGTTGCACTTACCTATATTGTAGAAAGTGAAAAATTAATCTATAGCTACAGAAAGCCGATCAGTGGTTTCCAGGGAACATAAGTGAGCAACTGAGTAAATTTGGGTTGTTGCCCAGCTGGCGTGGCTCAGTGGCTGAGTGTTAACCTATGAACCAGGAGGTCACGGTTTGATTCCCAGTCAGGGCACATGCCCGGGTTGCGGGCTCAATCCCCAGTAGGGGGCATGCAGGAGGCAGCTGATCAATGAGATCAATGATTTTCTCTCATAATTGATATTTCTTTCTCTCTTTCCCTCTCTGAAATCAATAAAAATATATTTAAAAAGTAACTTGGGTTGTTGATGTATGGGGTCAAGCACCTTGATTGTGCTGGATACATGGATATGTACATGTCAAATTTGTATATATTTATTTTATATCAATTATACCTCAATAAAGCATTTAACGACAATTGTAGGATATAACTAAAATGGTGCTTAAAATTTTATAGCCTTTTTATGCTATGTTGGAAAATAAGGAAGGTTTAAAATAAAAGGAACTAAGTTTCCAATTTAAGAAGCTAGGAAAAGATCAAAGTAAAACCAAACTAAGTAAAAGGAAGGAAATAATAAGCAGAATCAATGCAACAGAAATCAGACAAAAACAACAGAGAAAATTAACAAGGTTGGTTATTTGGAAATACCAATAAAGCTGGTAAACTGTTATTTAGATTAATTAAGAAAAAGAGAATATAAGTTACCAATACCAGCAATAAGTTACCAATTACTACATGTAACATTACTTACAGACATTTAAAAGATAATACGACCCTATTCTGAACAACTTTATGCCAATAAATTTGGCAAATTAAATGAAAAAGACACATTCTTTGAAAAACAACTTACAAAAATGGATCCAATATGTAACAAAATATGAATAGCTCTATATTTATTAAAGAAATTAAATATGTTATCAAATCTGTCCACAAACTCCAAATCCACATGGTTTCAGCAATGAATTCTAGCAAATATTAAGTACACAGAGACTAATATATAAAATCAGAATATCAACTTACTAATTTCAAGGAAGATGAAATTATTAGAAGTAGCTCGATATTAGATACCATCTGTCCAGAATGACGAAGAAGAGGTATAAGTGCTGGATAAACAATTGGACTCAACTTCTTAAGCCTCTTCCAATTTTAACAGTCAATTCTAAGAACCTACAGCAGAGATGATGAAGACATTTCCTTTCACTGTGGGATCAAGCTTTTCAAATAGGACCATGTTGCAGGCTTTCCTGCCTTTCCCCTCTGACTTTCAGAATAACTTTAGAAAACATCCCTCAGCTCAAGGATCGAAACTGCTGGCTGTCCAGATTGTCCTTTCAGATTTAACAGATCTGCAAAAATTAGACTTGACAGTCTTTGCTCTAACATACCATGACATTAATACTCTGGAATTTACTCCAGATGTATGATGGAGCTTGCTAAATGTGATCCAATTTTAACTCCTGGTATGCTCTTTTTGAAAACGGAGAAAATACATTTTCAAAGCAAAGTAGATATTTAAGCTTAAAAAAGTGACCTCATGAAAGAATCCGCAGACTTTTTAAAAACAAGCCAAGAACTAGATGTGGTGCTGGAAAATTTATCTGAGAAAGCTGTTCTCTGTAGATTAAGCCAGAGTGTTTGAAGTGGCAACAAAAATGGTTCAATATCGCTCATGCTCATGAAAGGTCTTATTTTTTTTCATTTAACAGGATTCCTTCTGGAAATGCCGCAGGCAATGCAGTTTAAAGAGACACTTTAAATCCAGGTGTGCAGACCCTAGATTTGGGGATATGGTTGATATGTCAAGCTATGGCCTTAATAATAATGCTGAACTTTGGTGATCTTTGATAATAAGATGATTCCTATGAGAAACAATCTGATCTGAAGTTTAATAGCAACAGGAAAACCTTATCACTTTGCTTTAAAAAAAACAACACACAAAAAAACAAGCCTTGACTTTTCTGATTACAAATGGAATACATACTCACTAATGGAAATTTAGAAAATACAAGAGAGCAAAACAAAGCAAATAAAAATAATAATCCAACCACATTAGCAATAACTACTGTGAACATTTAGAATCACACTGTTTTGTTATATTTTTCATGTTACATGTGATAATGTTTATTTCACCGTATTCTTCAATAACATGTTTTTTCATGGATATATCGGAGTCCCATTCATTGTATAGAAATACTATAACTAATTTAACCAACTATTGGAGGAGTATTGAAACATTTAGGTAGTTTTCAATTTATTTTGTTATTAAAAATGCTGTCATAAACATCCTTGTATATAACATTTGGTACACATTCTTCATGTATTATTTCCATTGCACAGATTCTTATAAATAAATCACTGCTTCTAAGGGTGTAGGCATTTAAAATTACATATTGCCATTTTTTCTCCTGGTAAGATGAATCCATAAACCCTTTTCCTATAATTCTAAAATCCAAAAAACTCTGAAACCAAAGTAATTTCTTTAAAAAATTTTTTGGCAACAAAAATCATCTACCTGATAGTAAAACCTGACCTGAACTGAAGTGAGGCTGCTTATAGTCTTCATTTATCTCACATGAGCATCTGATTATGGGATGCTACCTAGACCTATATAAAAGGCTAATATGCAAATCAACTGAATGGCAGAACAACTGGTTGCTATGACGCGCACTGACCACCAGGGGGCAGACGCTCAATGCAGGAGCTTCCCCCTGGTGGTCAGTGTGCTCCCACAGGGGGAGCGCTGCTCAGCCAGAAGCCAGGCTCATGGCTGGCGAGCACAGTGGCGGTAGCAGGAGCCTCTCCCGCCTCTGTGGCAGTCGAACATCCCCCGAGGGCTGAGGGACACCCCCTTGTGTGTATGAATTTCATGTACCAGGCCTCTAGTGTTATGTAACATACAATATATGCCTTATATTACCTTTCATTTAACACTTCAAAGATGTCATTTTATTATCCTCTGGCTTCCCACCCTTTTTTTAAAATGAGAAGGCAACCATCATTCTTAGTATTGTCTACCTTTGGTGGCTTTAAAGATTTCTTCTTTATCATTAGTTTTAGTAGTTTGACTGACAATGATATGGTTTTTCTTTATATTTATTCTGTTAGTGATTTGCTGAGGTTTTTGGATATACAAGTTGATTTTTTTCACCAAATGTGGGAAAATTCCAGACAGTATTAGGTTATCTCATTGCCACTTCTCTCTCCTTGCTTTCTGGAACTACAGTAATATAAATGCTAGACTTCTTGATATTGTTTCACAGGTCACTGAGAGCTCTTTTCACTTATTTTCAATCCTTTTAGTCTCTGCTTCAGTTAGGATTATTGCTACTGAGCTGTCTTCAAATTTACTGATAACATTTGTCTCAATGTTAAAAATGCTGTTAATAGCTAATGAACTTCTCATCTTAGATATGTTTTTTAGCTCTAGAATTAACACTTTGTTTTATTTTATAGTTTTTGTTTATCTGCTGATATTTTTCCATAAATTCAATTATTCTGCTGATATTTTCCTCTAAATCCATTAACATATTTCTAACTTCTATTATGAAGTCCCTGACTACCAATTGCAACATGTGGCTCATCCATAGGTCTGTTTCTATTAATAATTTTTCTCTTGATTTTAAGTTATAAAATCCTTCTTCCCATTGGTCCTATGATAGTTTGAACTTTGGCTTTGTTGGACAGGTCTTATTTTGCTTTGGCCTGTAGTCTTGGGGCAGCCCTTAGTCCTAAAGCACAGTCCTTCTGCAGTTTCAGTGCAAAATGTGAGGTGTTTTACCAGTCCCCCAATTTGGCAAGACTTGCACTCAAAATAACACTGTGTAGCTGCTGAAATGTAGATTTTGCTCGGTTCTTTAGTCCTTCTGATGTTACTTTCTGCCTGCTTTCTGGTTTGATTTTGGATAGTTCCTATTTCAATACAATCAAGTTCACTAATCATTTCTGCTGCAATGTGCCCCATGCTGTTCTTCATCTCAGACATTGTAGTTTTAATTTCTAGATGTTCTATTGGGTCTTTATAACTTGCATATCTCTATTTAGCATGTTAAAGCTTTCCTCTAGCTTCTAGAACATATGGAGTACAATTATAATAATTGTCTTAATGTTCTTCTCAACTAATTCTATCATCTATGCTATTTCTGGGTCTGTTTCAATTCCCTAATTTTTAAAAAAGACTAGTGTTTAGAGCAGTTTTAGATTCACAGCAAAATTGAGAGGAAGGTACAGAGATACTGCATATATGCCATGCTCCACATATTCACAGCTTCCCCTATCATCAACATCTCCCTCCAGAGTGGTACATTTGTTACAATTGATGACACATTACATTGACACATCATCAACGCCCAAAGTCTACAGTTTACATGAGGGTTCACTCTTGGCATTGTATATTATATGGGTCTGGACAAATGTGTAATGACATACACCTACCATTACAGTATCATACAGAGTATTTTCATTGTCTAAAAGTCCTCTGTGTTTCATTTATTCATCCTTCTCTCCCCCAATCCCTAGGCAACCACTGATCTTTTCTTTTAAGTAGGTAATCACTGATCTTTTTTTTTTCCCAAGAGAAAGGGAAGGGAGAGGGAGAGGGGTAGGGGGTAGGGGAGGGGGAGGGATAGAAACATGAATGATGAGTGAGAATCGTCTATTGACTGCTCCCTGCACACCCCTTATTGGGGATCAAGCCCACAACCCAGACATGCCCTGACCAGGAATCAAACCATGACCTCCAGGTTCATGGGTTGACACTCAACCACTGAGCCACACCGGCAAGGCAACCACTGATCTTTTAACTGTCTCCACAGTTTTGCCTCTTCCAGAGTGTCATATAGTTGATTTTTCCCCCTCCTCTTTATGAATTGTCTTTTCCTGCTTTCTTTCATGCCCTGTAATTTTTTATCAAATGCCAGACATAGTGCATTTTACCTTGCTGGGTTAGATCTTTTTCTAATCCTTAACATATTCTTTAACTTTGTTCTGAGATGTAGTTAAAATACTTAGAAATGTGATCTTTTTTAATGTTTTGCTTTTAAGCTTTGGTAGGTGGGATCAGAACAGTAGTTAGTCTAGGGTTAAGTTTTCCTCTAATACTGAGGTCAAGACCTTTCTTAGTACTTTCAATGCTGCCCTGTAAATTATGAAGCTTTCCAGGCTGGCATTATTTCTCACTCTATGTGAATTTGGGGCCTTGCTACTTTTAATTCTTTTGGGTGCTTCTTTTTCTGGCCTTCCTCACACGCGAGTGGGTTAGTATTCAACTTTATATTCAAAGTTGCCTTCAGCACATCTCTGGAGCTCTCTGTGTATGGCTCTCTCCTGTCCAATGCTCTGTCTGGTGAATTCTAGCCACCAGAGTGGCTTCCTCAGCTCTGTCTCCTCAACTCAGAGAGACTGATAAGTTCTGCCTCAGTTCCCCCTCCTTACACCATGGCTTGGAAACTTTTTCCCAGCAATAATTTGGGGTTAGTCCTAGGGGTTACATAATTTGTTTCTTGTCTCCCAAGAGTCACTCTCCTTCACTTCTTGCAGTCCAATGTCTTGAGAACCATTATTTTATATGCTTTGTCCGCTCTCACCCCACCAAGAAACTTCAAATGCATCCTCTTAGAAATGGAAGCCCCTGCATTACCTTTTTAAAATAAAAAATATGAATTATAACATATCTCTGGCCAAAGGAATTTGGATAATGTAAACTTGTACAAATAAGCATTCCCACTAGTAATGCACAAATGTGTTTGTCTCCTCACATCCTTTCAATATAAATGCATACTAAAGTATAAGAAGATTATTTTTAATATATGAAAGTTAAATATGTATTTTAAAAAATTTGCCAGTTATTTAATATGTTTAAAAAGGCATAATATTGCTGTTTAAACCAGTATATCTATGATTACAGGTAAAGTTAAACATTTTTAAACAGATTTTTAAAATTGATTTTTAGAGAAAGAAGAAGGCAGAGGGAGAGAGAGAAACATCGATGTGAGAGTGAAACGTTGATCAGCCACTATCAGGGATCAAACCTGCAACCCAGCACGTGCCCTGACTGGGAATCGAACCGGCAATCT